GATTGGTGTTCAAGCATTAAATAGAATCAAATATTGTGAACTACTTTATTAAAAAAAAAAAGAAGGATGTAAATAGGCAAAAACAAAACAAAACAAAACAACACCCTTCACAGTCCAGAGTGATAGTCCAGAGGGAAGGGCATTTGTCTTGCATGAGCCCGACCTGGGGTTTGATCCCCGGCATCCCATATGGTCCCCCGAGCACCACCAGGAGTAATTCCTGAGTGCAGAGCCAGGAGGAACCCCTGAGCACTGCTGGGTGTGACCCCAAAAGCAAGATAGATAAATAAATAAATAAATAAAATGATTTGGCTTGGAGTTGAAGAGATAGGGGTTAAGGCACTTGCTTCGATCCAGTACTCAGAGCCCGGGACTATTGGCTTGTCTGACTGAGAACCACCAGGTTCCTCTGGCCTTCACTTGGGAGACCCCCCACCCAATAACATTCACTTCTTTGCCTTTATGCTGTTAAACTATGCTCCTTATATATTCTGGATATTTGACAATTTTCAGATGCATTCTTTATGGATCTTTTCTAGCGGTCTTTTGACTTTCTTGGTAATGCCCTCACATGTATAATTCTGAGCCTAATATGAAGCGTTAAATTCTTTAATTTCAGTGAACTCCATTTGATCTATTTTTGTTGCTGTTTCTCATGCTTTGAGTGTCATATCTAGGAATCCTTTGCTAAAATCGAGGTCATGAAAATTTACCCCTGTTTTCTTCTAAGAGTTTCATGACTTTATCTCTTACATTCAAGTTCCACATTTAGTTAATTTATCACATGAAGTATGGTCAGTATTAGGACTACTGGTTCATTCTTTTGCCTGTGGAAGTCATTTGTCCCAGAACCACACGTTGAAGATATTTTTTTCTCCAATGATTGCTCTTAAAGCCTTAGTTGCATCAAAGGGCTAGGCACTTGCTTCGCATGGCATATGGTCTTTGGGCACCACCAGGAGTCATTGTACCCATTGCAGAGGCAGGAGTAATCCTTAAGCACTGCCAGTCATAGTCCAGTCCCTCTGTGCCCCCCAAGGAAAAAAAACAAAACAACTTTTGTCAAAAATAAAGTAGATGCATGGACTTATTTTGGACTCTCAAGTCTATTGTTATATAGTCTTTATATTAGTGCCACACTGTTCTGATTATTGTATATATATATTTTGGCCTTTGGGCTCACACCCGACAATGCACAGGGGTGACTCCTGGCTCTGCACTCAGGAATATTTCCTGGCAGTGCTCAGGGGACCATATGGGATGCTGGAAATCGAACCCGGGTTGGCTGAGTGCAAGACAAATGCCCTACCTGCTGTGCTATCACTCCAGTCCTGATTATTGTATTTTTGTAGTAAGTAGTAAGTTTTGAAATTGGAGAGACTAAAAAGAAAAAGAAGATTGAAAAGTGAAATTGGGAAGAATGAGTTCACCAACTTTTTCTTTCTTTTTTTTTTTTTTTTTACAGATTAGGTTATTTCCGGAAAATTGTGTTCTTTAATCTTTAAAGTAATCTGGCTTTCTTATCATTGTGTTTTAGTCTTTATGGAACTAAAAAAAAGACTAAAGTCTTTTAGCCTTTTATTCATTTAGGTCCTTCTTTCCTTTCATCCGTGTTTTATAGTTCTCCGGATAGGGCACTTTCATTTCCTCTGGTTAAATTTATTCCTGGAGGGGCCAGAGTGATAGTACAGCAGAGAGGGGGCACCTGCCTTGCTCGAGGCTGACCCGGGTTCCACCCCCAGCATTCCATGTGGTCTTCTGAGACCCACCAGGAATGATCCCTGAATGCAGAGCCACAAGTCACCCCTGAGCACTGCCAGGTGTGGCACAAAAACAAAAACAAAAAGTTGATTCCTGGGTATTTCATTCTTCAGGCCGCCCCCTTTTTTTTTTTTTTTAGCCTTTGGGTCACACCTGGTGATGCACAGGGGTTACTCCTGGCTCTGCACTAAGGAATTACTCCTGGCAGGGCTCAGGGGACCATATGGGATGCTGGGAATCGAACCCGGGTGGGCCGCATACAAGGCAAATGCCCTACCCGCTGTGCTATCACCCCAGCCCCTGAAACACCAATCTTTATATGATGATCATGTATTCTGCAACTTGGCTTGCTTTATTACCTTTAGGGGTGTGTGTGTGTGTGTGTGTGTGTGTGTGTGTGTGTGAATTTATCAATTTTTTTTTTTACGTAGGAGTATGCATTCACGGCCGCGCGATATCTTATTGTGTCATTCCTACTTTGGACAAACTGGCAGGCTATTGAATGTAACCTGCCCACACGGCAGAGTCTGGCAAACTCCCCGTGGCGTACCCGATATGCCAAATACCAGTAACAATGATGGGTCTCATTCTCCTAACTCTGAAAGAGCCTTGAATATGGCACTTTTTAAAAAATCTCAGGGCTAGGACGAAGGAGACGTTACTGGGGCCTGCTCGAGGCAATCGACGAATAACAGGATGGTCGTGATCGTGATTGTGATCGTAGGAGTAATGTTGAAAAGGACTTCCTTGTGGGTTTTTTTTTTTTTGGCCACATCCGACAGTGCTCAGGGCTTACTCCTGGCTCTATGCCCAGGGGTCACTTCTGATTGAGGCTCGGAGAATCATCTAGGGTGCCAGGAATCGAACCCGGCTTGACTGAGTGCAGGGCAAGCTCCCTACCCACTGTGCTCTCTCTCCGGCCCTGGCTTCCTTGCTTTCCCATCTGAGGCAGAAGCTCTCACTCTCTCACTGAGGGTTTGTGAGATGTGGATTTTTCCTGAAGAGGCAGGAGAGCATTCATGTTCCCTTTTTTTTTCCCCCTTTTTGAGTCACACCCAGCCATGCACAGGGGTTACTCCTGGCTCTGCACTCAGGAATCATCCTGACGGTGCTCAGGGGACCATATGGGATGCTGGGATTCGAACCCAGATTGGCCGCATGCAAGGCGAACGCCCTACCCGCTGTGCTATCGCTCCAGCCCCCTCCTATTCCCTTCCAGTCTTGGTTTTCTGAATGTTTCTCATTCTGAAGGCCAGCTGGACGTTGTCAAGTTGTTCTTTTCAGTGTCAATTGAGATGATCACGTTATTGGCTTTGTTCACTGGGTGGGGTTTGTGACACTCACGCTCAACCACCTTGGACCAGGCACTTTTCCTTAAAAAGAAACTTGAGACTCATTAAAGGAAAAACCTCCTGACCCCATGGATTACTTCGAAAACACCCTTGACAGCATTCCAGCACACGCTGTCGCCTAGGCTTTGTAAGCAGTGGCCTGATCTCTGACTTCTGGGAACTCGAGAGGGCCTTCCAGCTTCTCTGAAGAGCATTGTGTTGAAATTAGAAAGGAAAAACACTTCAACCGTGTTGAGACACTAAATTGAAATGCTTGAACTTAGTGGTCCCGCTCTCTCTTCCTTCCTTTTTCCCTTTCCACATAAAATCGTGGCAAAATTGGTTCAGAAATCAATGTTCAATTCTGTTCAAAACTCAAAATCCATTTCCACATTGATTTGGGTTGCATTTTTGTGTGTGTGCTTTTTTCGGCCACTCTTCCTTTCGTAATGGGTTCATTATCAGAGCACGGGTAGCGTGGTGGAAAGGGAAATTAAAATGAAATTAAATTAGAAATTAAAATTCTGGGGGCTGGAGCGATAGCACAGCCTTGCTCTGCATGTGGCTGACTCAGGTTTGAACCCCAGCATCTCACATGGTCCCTACAGCACCCCCAGGAGTGATTCCAGAGTGCAGAGCCAGGAGTAACCCCTGAGCATTACCAGGGTGTGTCCCCCCCCCAAAAAAAAAAACAAAAAATTCTATTTTGTGGATATTTTGTTTGTTTGTCTGGGGGACACACCCAGCAGTGCTCAGGACTTACTCCTGGCTCTGTACTCAGAGATCACTCCTGCAGGGCTCGCATGTGGGGATCAAACCCCAGTAGGCAGTGGGCAAGGCCAGAGCCTTACCTGCTGTCCTATTGCTCAGCCCTAAATTTCTGAATCCATGATTTGAACAACATGAATTTTTTTTTTTTTTGGTGGGAGGACTCGTTTTTGCTTATTTTTGCAGGGGACTTCCCAAACAGTGTTCAGGGTGACCCCAGGGCCACACCCAGTGATTCTCAGCCAACTGGGGCAGTGCTGGTCTGGCCCTGTGATGCCAGAGACCACCAGAACCCCCTGGGAGTACTAAGGGGCCACTAGCGCCGCAGCTGGTGGTACTTGGGGGCACAAAGTGAATTTTTGCCAGCGGTTAGGTTTCCACTCTACATCATGAAGCAGGGAACTGAACCCGCGGTCCTAACACGTGCCAGGCGAGTCTCCCTCCGTCCACTGAGCCTCATCCCTGGTCTCTCTCGCAGGCTTGACGCACGTTCCTTCTCGTGGTGGGTCCACGCCACATGTGTACATGCTTCTCAGTATGAACAAGCCGAGGAAAACGAGCCCAGAGTGTCCCCCCCCCCCCCCCCCCCCCCGGCTATCCCAGCGCAGGACGAGGATTGTGAGAATAACAGGACAAAGCAATGAAGGCGGTCACGGTGGCAGTGAGGAGTCAGTGTCACAGTCCCTCCATCCCCTCCCAGCTACAGGCTGTCTCATCATGTAGAGGTTTAATTTTTTGTTTTTTTTTTTTTTGCTTTTTGGGTCACACCCGGCGATGCACAGGGGTTCCTCCTGGCTCTGCACTCAGGAGCTACTCCTGGAGGTGCTCAGTGGACCCTATGGGATGCTGGGAATCGAACCCGGGTTGGCCGCGTGCAAGGCAAACGCCCTCCCCGCTGTGCTATCTCTCCAGCCCGAGGTTTAATTTTTTAAGTGACCAGCTTTAGGGCTGGAGAGATAGGACAGGAGGTGAAGGCACTTGCCTTGCTGGTAACTGATGCGGGTTTGATCCCCGGCCTCCTCTAGGGTCCCCGAATGCCCTTAGGGGTCACTCCCAGCACCAAGCACATCCCCTTGAGCATTGCTGGGTGTGACCATAAAAAAATAACCCCCCACGGTGTTTCTCTCTCCCTCCTTACAGGTTATTGAATGATCCTCCTGCTTCTCCTGTCTGGCCTGCTTTCCTACTGCCTGACCTTTTCCTGGTTAAAAATCTGGAGGAAAATGGCTGACTCCACACCTGGCACCAACAACCCACCGGAGGTGAACTTCCCCCCGATGCAGGAGCCCTCGGCAGCCTCAGGAGCCCCTCAGCTGCACGGAGAGGACCACAGCTCCCCGCCAAAGACCCCCCAGACAGCAGAGTCGGTGTCCCTCAAAGGTGCCAGAGATGCCCGTCGCCAAAAGCCCTCCCGGCACCCCACCTACCTCAAGCCCCCAAGGACCCCCGTCGGCCCCGACAGCGCCTCGGATGCAGGGCCAGCAGGTTCCCCGGCCCCAGACACCAACGGCCTTGTGACGGAGGAGAATCTCCCCCAGGGCTCGCGGGCCCGGACGCTGTCCAGGGAGGACGAGAAGCAGGCACACATCAAGAGGCAGCTGATGACCAATTTCATCCTGGGCTCCTTCGACGACAACTCCTCCGACGAGGACACTGCTGGCGCCTTCCAGCATTCGTCCCGCAAGGGCAGCCGGGCCAGCCTGGGGGCCCCGTCCTTGGAAGCCACTCTGCCCGCGTCTGAGATCAGGTAACGTGGCCTTGTCACTGGGGAGAGGCGGGGCACAGGGGTGCACGGTGAGCCCCGAGCACAGGTGGGTGCAACCAAGAAACACAGCTGGGGGCTTAGGCCTCCCCGTGGGGGTCAGTCTCGCAGGTGTCTGTGAGGGTCTGGGCCTGCTCTGTAGGCCTGTAGGCCTGCTCTGAACTCTGGCCACCCACTGGAATTTCTTCTTGACTTTTCTTTCTGATTTTGGGAGGGGGTTGGCCTACCCAGCGGTGCTCAGGACTTCGTCCTAGAGGTGCTCAGAGATCATATGGGATGCGGGGGATCAAACCCAGCTGGGTGTGAGGCAAGTGCCCTCCCCGCTGTCCTCTGGCTTCTGACTTTTCAACACAGGGTGCCATCGTTTCATTTGGCTTGGGACCCTGCAAATTCTGGAGTGGGCCCGCCTTCCCTTCTAAACCTTTGCCCCCCAAAGTCAATCCTCAGACTCTTCTGTATCTCTTCCCATCTCTCCCTCACATGCCCCTGGCTTCTTGATGGCCACTCTGATTTGTGAGTTCCAGAACATTCCGTTGCTCCTGGAGCTCCTTCCTTAATCACTTCACTTAATCACTTAATCCCCGTTATTCATCGATTTATTCGAGCGGGTGCCAGTAACGTCTCCATTCATCCCGGTTGCGTGCTAGCGTAGCCCAATGGTATCTGTTCGTTCTAGGAACATGTAGAGCCTCAAACCGATCATTTAGGGTCTTGACGAAGAAGTCTGACCATCTTATAGGTGGGCGTCCACGTGATCTTTTGACATCCCGTGGAATCCAATCAGTAATGGCTCTAGTCCAGTGGTTGTCTGTAAACCTCATTACATGTCCAGCCCATCTGATTTTTGATGTCTTGGAGCTCCTTCCTATCTGTATTTATTTGGCTGATACCTTTCTCCCACTGGACTGCAAGAATTATGAAAACTGCACCAGAGAGAGACAGTCCAGGGGTGGACTTACCTGCTATGCACAATTGCCAACCCCAGCTGGGGGCACGGCCATGAGTGGCCCCAGAGGACAGAGCCCGGAGTAGCCCTTGGGCACCACAGGGTCCAGCCCCACCCCTGACTCCCCACCAGAACCAAAATCATCAAAACAGCCTTATTTTCCCAAATACTACCCCCACTACCATCCCCCTCTCTCCTCCCCGCCCCTCCCTACGGCTTGGCTTAGCATGCATAGTAGATTTTAAATAAATGTGTGCCAAGCGCATAAGTGAAGTGAACCACCCAAGCTTGCCAAAGATAGAATTTTGGGTCCTTGGAACGTCCCAAGCACTTGATGAGTCTGGAGGTGGGTGCGTGCAGGAATGGATGCATGAACCGGAGGAGGAGTGGGGGTGTGTTGTTCTTTATCAACAACTGAATTTCTGTTTTCCTAAAATTCTTTTTTTGGGGGAGGGGTAGGTTTGGGCCTCATGCTGGTGTTTAGGGCTTACTCTGGGCTGTGCTCGGGGGTCATTCCCGGTGGGGGCTCAGGGGGCCATATGAGGTGCTGGGGATCAAAGAGGCTGAACCGCAATCAAGGCGATCACCTTACCCTGCATTGTCTCTCCAGCCAGCCCGTTTTCCTCTTTTTTGGGGGGGCACACCCAACAGTGCTCAGTGGTTACTCCTGCCTCTGTACTCAGGAATTACTCCTGGCGGTGCATGGCAGGGGGCGGAGGGCATGGTATATGAAACACTGGGGATTGAACCGATCAGGCGCATGCAAGGCGAACACCGGACCCACTTCCAGCCCCAACCGGCTCCCGTTTTCCGAGGCGTGATCACAAACATCTTTTTGCACGCTTTCGTCAGCTGCCTGGGAGTTCAGCTGAATTTGTAGTCCCTGGATGGCGTTCGGCGGCCCCCTCTCTCCCGCCCTATTCCCACCTGCCAGACAGGGGCTGGTGAACACTGGGCATCTTTGGACTTTGCACCGTGTCTTCTGGTCTCTGTTCTTTGTTTTGGGTTTGTTCCCCATGGCCCTCAACGCTCAGGTTCCTCCCGGCCCTGCACTCAGGAATTATTCCTGGCGGTGCTCAGGGGGCCCCATGGGATGCCGGGGATCCAACACAGGTCGGGGTGCATCACGGCAAGTGCCCTCCCCTCCCCGCCCCCCGTGCTATCTTCTGGCCCCCTGGACTCTCTCCTTGCCTCTGCCCTTTTGAGTCCATCTCAGGCCAGGGTGGGGACTTTCCTGCAAATTTCTCTTCCAACTCGATGTTAATTCCCACGCAATGCTGAGAAACAGCTGTTGGAGCTTTCCCTGCTGGGCCAGGAGGGCAGGTGCTGGGGACTTGCACGAGGACCAAGTGGCCACACACACGGGGGCCTCTGGGGTGGACTGGCGGTTGGCGTGGGGGCACGGTCAAGTTCTGAAATGGGAAGTTGTGGGGGTGTATTATTTGGTGTTTTGTTTGCTTTTGTTTGGGGGCCATTCCCGGCAGTGCTCAGGGGTTACTCCTGGCTCTGCGTTCAAGAATTACTGCTGGTGGAGCTCAAGGGGCCCTTCTGGATGCCAGCGATCGAACCCTGGCTGGCCATGCCTTGTGTAAGGCAAACGCCCCGCACGCAGTCCTATCTGTCTGGTCCTGGACTGGGAAGTTTTAAGAAACTGATGTCCTATGTTGATGAAAATGTCACTGAGCAGCCAAACGAGCTTTGAATAGGTGTGAAGTCTTGAGAGGGTTTTTATTTATTTATTTATTTATTTTATTTATTTATTTTTAAAATTTTATTTATTGTATCTATGTATTTATTTTTTCTATTTTTGGGGTCACACCTGGCGATGCACAGGGGTTACTCCTGGCTCTGTACTCAGGAATCACCCCTGGCGGTGCTCAGGAAACCATATGGTATGCTGGGAATCGAACCCGGGTCGGCCGTGTGCAAGGCAAACGCCCTACCCGCTGTGCTATCGCTCTGGCCCCGGGTTTTTATTTTTATTTATTTTGCTTTTTGTAACCCCGGCAATACGCAGGGGTTATTCCTGGCTCTGCACTCAGGAATTACTCCTGGTGGTGCTCAGGGGATCATATGGGTTTGCTGGGAGTCAAACCCGGGTCAGCCATGTACAAGGCAAACGCCCTCCCCGCTGTGCTATCTCCAGCCCCAGGTTTTTAATTTTGTTTTTATTTTCGGCCTATCCCTGATGGTGCTTAGAGATTACTCATGGCTCTGTGCTCAGGGATCACTCCCGCTTGGTTCTGGGACCCTATGGGGCACCAGAGCTTGAACCAGGTCAGCTCTGTGCAACGCAACTACCCTACCCGTTGTCCTGTAGCTCCAGCCCCTAAATGTCTATTTTCTTCTAGAGGCAGGTGGGTGGGTCAGGCCCTGTGGTACTGGGACTACTCCTGGCTCTGTGCTCAGGAGTGACCCTTGAGGGGACCGTAAGTGGAGCTGGGCATCAAACTTGGGTCAGTTGTGTGCAAGAGCCTTCCCTCCTGCACGGTCTCTCTTGCCCATCACTGTTTGGGTTTGGGAGCGACACCCAGCAGTTCTTGGGAGCTTCTCCTGGCTCTGTGTGCGGGGATCACTCCTAGGGGTGCTCGGGAGCCCACATGATGCCAAAGATCCAAGCTGAACCTCCCACCAATAAAGCACGAGCTCAGCCCTTTTTTTAAAATCTTTTTCTTTTGGGGTCACCGTCCCCCTGCCAAAGAAACTGAAGTATAGACTGAGCCACAAAGGAACCCAGAGAGGCCAGTCCAGAGATTCCCCCCACCGCCAAATGCAGGCGACACCCCTAACATCACATAGCTTCACGGCACACAGCTCTGGGAGCACAGGGGTTACTCCTGGCTCAGGGGACCCTATGGGATGCAAGAACTCGAACCCAGGTCAGCCGCGTGCAAGGCAAATGCCCTACCCGCTGTGCTATCACTCCAGCTCCAGTTCAGCCCTTTATTTTTTTTATTTTTATTTTTTTTTGGCTTTTTGTGTCACACCTGGCGATGCACAGGGGTTCCTCCTGGCTCTGCACTCAGGACTCACTCCTGGCGATGCTCAGGGGACCATATGGGATTCAGGGACTCGAACCCGGGTCAGCCACGTGCAAGGCAAACGTCCTACCCACTGTGCTATCTCTCCAGCCCCCTAACTCAGCCCTTTAAGCAATCTCTGCAGCCCCTGTTCGTAAAAAGTTTAATAACATTCCACAACAAAACAGAATGAAATAGTATTGGCAGTAGGGAATGGAGTGATAGCACAGCAGGTAGGGTGTTTGCCTTGCACGCGACCGACCTGGGTTCGATTCCCAGCATCCCATAGGGTCCCCCGAGCACCGCCAGGAGTATTCCTGAGTGTAGAGCCAGGAGGAACCCCTGTGCGTCGCTGGGTGTGACCCAAAAAGCAAAAAAAAAAGTATTGGCAGCAATGCAGGGGAGTGGGGGGTGTTTGTCATCCAGCTTCCTAGCTAGCTAGATAGCTGTGAGGTCTGTGTGGCGGGGTGTACCCAGTGGTCATCCTGTTCTTTGGCACCGAGTCCCCCTCCACCCTGAGCTCCAGCAGAGGTGCCTGCTGAAGACTGACCTGCAGACCTGTGTCCACGGCTGCGAGCCCTCGGCCTGCCCCTGGGTCTGATGGCCGTGATCTCACAGAGGGCCCCACTTTAGGTGCTAGGCTCCCAGTCACCCCGCAAACCTGGACGAGGCCAGCCACGCCTGGTTCCTTCTCCCCTCCTAACTATTCTTGCCGTGGTGGGGGGAAGCTGGGGGACCGGGCAGTGGATCGGGATGCTGTGAAGCTATGTGATGTTAGGGGTGTCGCCTGCACTTGGTGGTGGGGGGGTGTCTCTGGACTGGCCTCTCTGGGGTCCTTTGTGGCTCAGTCTATACTTCAGTTTCTTTGGCAGGGGAACGGTGGAAGAAAGTTTCGGGGGAGTTGGGAGCATTTGTTACCTGAGAGCCATTGTCTCCGTGGTGATGACCGTGATGGTTTGGGGTCCCGGGAACGTGGCAGGACAGACGCAATGACGAAACAGTCCCAAGGAGAAGCTGGG